AGCAATCTTTAGTTGATGGAACACGACGAACTGTCAAACCCTATGCGTGAAGAGCGGGGTTAGTTATTTGCTAAGAAGGCTGAATTTTAGCTCGTTAACATTAAATACGGCCCGTTAGCTTCGAAAAAACAAACAATACCCCAGTGATAATGAACAGTGACGAGATAACTCTTTGAACAGACGTTTTACAAAAAGAGGAAAATTTCCAGTTTTGTGATCAGAGTGTTTTTTAAAATTTTTTAAGTTTTTAAAAGAACAAGATTTGGCTCGAAGATATATGTCCCGAGATCTCTTGAAAGATATCAACGCCTGGTCATCTCTTTTCGTTACTAATCGAAGATTCTAGTGCAACTGATCTCTAATGTTGCGAAATGAAACCTGTTTATTAACAGAATACATTAGCCTACACTGATCACAGCCGTATGCATTCTGCCAGTGCCCAGCTTGTAGTGCGCAATGTGTGCCAAAAGCTAGGCAAAGATTGGCGAATGTACGATTTGTGATGTGCAGTCTTGCGGCCACGCGTGACGAGTGAATATGTGATCAATCAGTTTATGATGCAGGGTAACTGCCAGGCTCATTGCGACCTCTAACACTTTACAAATTTGGTCTTGAAATACCTGAGGTTTTCTTTCAATCCTCGTTTCGCTGACAGTGATCAAATGTCGATAACACGTTTTAAGCTAGATTTCACTTCCCTGACCTGGTTTACTGCTATCTGACGCTCTTCTGGCACAATTAGTACTTTTCAATTCCGTCAACAGGAGCCTATGCCGGGGCTCCTACCGTTAACAGCAAAGCACATGCGCAAGTTTGCCATCTACCTAGGACGTGTACATTATTTTTAAGGATGTTTGCAATTCTAAACAACTTATTTAGGCTCTATTTAGGGACACAATGAACTTAATTCCATGTTTCTTGAACCATCCATTATTATTAGTTATCGTTTTTGTCATCGAGTTCCCCCATTTAAAGTTAAAGTTATTTGTTTTTGTCCTTTTTTACGGTTTTTGTTATTTGTTTTTGTGGCAATCGTTTTTCATTTTTGGATCTGTTTAGACGTTCGAGAGTAGTGTTATTTAGTAATAAACGGACGCAATGAACTAACGGGTGACTGTACAAAACCAATGCATCGTATTGACCAAACAAAATGTTCTTGCCATTTTAGACTACGGTGGTAGGAAGAACTCAAAAATGAACTCTGTGACTCCTTTACTTTTATTTATAAAGTAAATAAGATAACGAAATAATGATCTTGTCAAAATGGACCTTCCTATGAACGTTTTGAAAAATGCCCATGTTCGCTACAGACACTGCGCGAGTTTCCCGAGAGTGCAATCCATGACAACAGTGACAAATTGGTTTATAATACGAACCTCGATATTCTTTAATACATAATTCATTTTCCAAGTTCAGTGGCTCAAAGCCATTTTGACTACTACTGAAATACAAGACTCACCACTTCAAAATCATTCATAACGTCCATTGCACCCACACTGTTGTGTTGAGGAACTCGAATCACTTCTTTTTGTTCGTCCACATCAACTTCCACCTCCTCATTAAAGCTTGCTCCGTTTTCCACGATATTGAAAGCATAGCGCTCAACCTATAAAGAGAGACCGTTGAGCTAAGATTCTTATTTATCATTTTAGGGTGTCAGTTCTTTCTGGATCATACCTAACTTTTCAAATAAGGTTTTTACCAGTCTTCACTTGATCGAATTTAAAATTGCACCCGTTGTTGTAGATAGATTGAGTTTGGTATAACGTACTCTTATTTTTTCCATGGAAATAAAAAAGAAAACGACTCAAAATCAGTAAATTCTGAATTTTACACAAATCAGATTTGATTTGAAAAATCTTATACCAATATCTTCTAAGGACTGTAACTTGAGCAATTTCACAACTGCTTAGGTTGTATGTGTAATAGACTTGCCACAAGTCGACCTCATGAAGGTCTAGGTATGTAACCGCAATGATCAATGATGTCTTCATATCTTCTCCGCAATTCAAAATATGATCTTTCATATTTTCACTTGTATTTAAGTCTGTTGATAAGATAAAAACGGTATGTTTTTAACCCCAGGAGCATTTCTTGAGAAAAGAATAGAAAGATGTGACTACTTGAGTACTTTAAAATACTATACTAAATATAACTCAAAGATTGGCTATAATTTAGAGGCCAAACGCGAAGACCAGAATTGCTAGTAACTTTCACTGATATAAACATTGTCATACCGTTTTAGAAATAGTTTTAGAATGAGGAAGATATAATTTTGCGTCTTGTCGAAAAAAGAACGCGCTGGTCATCAATAAACCCGATCAGTAATCATTTTGGGAAATTTATCGTATATCAGAGCGGCAGACAAAACCACAATTATGCATTCATGATGTTACTTCTAAACGTAAGGACATAGGAAGTAAAGAACAGTCCGAAGTAAAGATCAATCCAAATCAAACTGAAAGAAGAACTGAATAACTCATTTACTTTGGCATCCACTTTGAGTCCATGAAAAGAAAGGAGAACGATCAGGCTGAGCAGGATTTTCAAAACAGAAGTAGCCTGCAGGAGAGAAAGAAGCATTGAAATCAAGTTGAGTCAACAATAACCATTTTCAAAGAGATGCACACTTACCATATTCCCTCAAAAACGTTGCCTTGCCAGCACTTGACGCGAAGATGTTTGAAGAGAAATGCAACATTGCCATCTTCATGACTCTTTTATTTCCACTGCCTGAGTAATTTGATCTACGTACACTTTTCGTGCGTGCGTTGGTTTCTTGTATGGTATTTCCTGAATTAGGTTTCTTTTCAGTGAAGTAATGATGTGTTTAAGGAAGAGAATCAGGAACTACATGACACTTCCTCTTGTTTGCTGAAAAGAAGCCAACATCAATTGACCTTTTCTGCTGAAGGGAGGGCATGCAAAATCACGCACCAAATCTATAACATATGCTTTCCTTACGATGGCTTGATGAGTTGCATTCGCTGAAGAGAGGTTAACAATGATGCCCTGCTTTGTTCTCAAGGAAGTGACTGTCGAATTATGATGAAGAAGCTCTCCAGCTCATGCTAAGCAATCTCAGTATTGGCCACCAAATAAATTTAACGCGAGTCCACTATAGATTGACCTACTGTACTCATTTTTCAGTCATGTCAGCAATTTGTTGGAGGGGTACCACCTAATTGTAATCTATACGTACGTGTGTGTCTCCCCAAAGGGTATGTACAGATTTTTTAGTATAAATCTTTCTTTGTGTTCCTTTTGATATTCAAACGGAGACAGAGAAAGAGACACGACTAAAGAAATATCATTCTATAGTTTAAACTGAGATTTACCAGCTTACATAGGCCTAAAGCCAACAGGTCTGAAAATCAAAAACGGAAAAGTAAAACACTGCCAGCGTGTAATTATGAAACTTAACCATAACCAATGCGTCAGTTTTAGCTTTTTTCTACGGATTAAATGACAGACAGACTGAATCTGTCATCCTCACGGAAATTCTGCATTGCTCAAATTCCTTAGGCAACTGACACACGTAATACGTAATTCCTCAAACACTTCCTTAAGCATAGCAGGTCGAGGAGTATTAACCTCTTTTCAGCAAATGCAGCACACGGCGCCATCACGCGCGAGGTTTATGTCGATCAAAGTGCTGAAACGATGGAAAATAGCGGGTATAAGTTTTCATTCACTTCCTTGAACACATCATAAGCCTATCAAGGCGATTAATTCAACGCATGAAGCAAGCACTAATAGGAAGTGCATGTCAATCAAATTGTTCAAACGATAAATTACGTGTAATTCCTTTTCACATCCATCAGCAAAGAAGGTCAACTAAAAATATACCCTTCTCTTCAACAACTGCACGAGAAGTACTCGTGTCAAGCTTGCTTCACACCAAATCGCACAAGCGACGTTATTACAGTACATCCGTAACGACATACGTTGCCGTTGGGTTACATCTAATTACCCCGGTCTAAGCATCAAAGGGCATCAAACGTGGTGTGATTATTATTCGTCATACTGGTCGACAGTCATTTGACAGTCAGTTAGGTAAACTTCGCTTCTCAGAAATTCGACAATTTCCGGTTTTCCTGGAAACTTTCTCAACACGGGTTACCAAACCCTGAGCCTATTCTATTCAGACCCCCCAGGGCTGCAGTAGTCGGGAAGATGCGATATTTTCGGCCGAGCGATCGATATTCTCAGGTGAAAGTTAACTTCAACCCTTGAAGTAAACTTTTGCCTGAAAATATCGCTCGCCCGAAAATATCGCATCGTCTCGACGACTATCACCCCCTGGGTCTCCGAGGATGATTCAGACCAAAATAAGTCAATTTCCATACAAATTTATTATTTTCACACCTGCTAGCTGCTTACTTTGTTACACAAACCAAAGCACTTGCCTCAGTCATGTTTTTACGTTTTTGTTGCCGTTTTGTTTTTTTGAAGGGAGAAAGTAAAACACTGCTAGCAAATAAATAAGAGAATCTAACCATGGACATTGCCTCAGTCAGTTTAACTTTTTTCTCTCTACAACCCTGGTATTTTCACTACCGATTGGTAGGAATCAAAAGTTGTGTCAAGCGGCAACGTTGGAGTTCTATCGAATGAACAAAGAAAAATTGTGGTTTCTGCTTTGGTCGTTCGCCTATGAAGCGAATCGCTGGTTAATCGATAGGCAACTGATGAATGTATCATTCCCGGATTCACATCATTATCACGACTAACCTCACAGAAATTGTTGATTGATCAAATTCCTTAGGTAACTGACAGACGTAATCCGTAATTTCACAATCACTTCCTTAAGCATAGCAGGTTCACACATGCTTACCTCTTTTCAACAATGTAATACACGACGTCATCACGCGGGAAGCTTACGTCGATAGAAAATAGCGGGTATAAGTTTTAATTCACTTCCTTCAACATGTCGATTAAATTGTTCAAACGATAAATAGCGTATAATTCCTCTTCACGTTCAACAGCAAGGAAGGTCAACTACAATATGCCCTTTTCCTTAGCAACTACACGAGAGGTACCCGTATCAAGCTTGCTTCACACTTCATGGTACTAGCGACGTTGCCTTCGGTTATACTAAGCGTGAGGGCCGTACTAGGAGAATATCGGCCCTTGGTCTCTTTTGTATGGACTCTACAAAATAAACCGAGAGCCGATATTCTCTCATCACGGTCCCAAACAATCTTGGTTAATAAGAGATTTATTACACGATGGAAACTAACAGAAAATCTTCAAGAGTGATCTTGCGGGATCATTCGGGACAGTGCCCGGTCCAATACTTAGAGAATATTGAACCGGCAATGGAGCAATCTGGTTGGTTGTTTTTAGTTATCACCCCTCCGAACTAACCTATGCCGTGTTTTCACGAGAGAGGTTTACTACGGTTACTGCTTACCGAGGTTTCGTAACTAAACCGCAGTTATTAGAGAAGCTGTTTACGCGAAACTAATTAACTTATGTTGCTCAGAAACTATTGGGAAATTATAAAATTTGACTTTGCTCCAATGCCGAACGCAGGTCGTTGTCAATTTGCTTGCGATGATGTCGAGCCAAACTCTCCTTAAATGTAAAGCTTTGTAGATGAATATTGGAAAGAAAATTTTGATATCTCGCTGAGCCTCTTCCCGCAAAAAAACCTGAAACGGCATCTGCCATGGAGCCCAGGCTACATAAATGTTTACCGGTACTTCTTCTTATTCGGGGCCGCTTCTACTCCATAGACCTGAATTATGATTTTTTTTCTCTCTATTTGTGGTAGGTCTTCTAGTTGCGCCTGCCTGTACACTGCTACTAAGTGTGAGGAAAGAGAATTAGATAATTAAGTACGTTCTACATATTCGCTTTCGCTATCAGAAAATATAGAAATCCGACATAGATATATTTGTTTTAGTTCGTTTTGCATTTCTAAGTTACAGGTTACTGTTCCAGTTCATTGACCGTAACAGACACCTGCTAGTTTCTTGAAGGATCATAGCTGTAATAAGCGTTGAACTGTAATTACTACCTGCAATAGTCTTTTGTCAAACTGTTATCTACCTGTATTGTTTTGAAAGTTATTAATCTTGTAAACGTTGAATTCCGTTATAGCCAATCAAGCTTTCTGAAATGTATTAGATAATGTTTAGTTAAGACTTTTTAATAACTTTACGTAATCGTTTAGAATTGTGTTTTCGGCTTAAATAGTCGTGCCTTGTAAAATATTCTTTGGTTACATTCTGGCTGCATTCCGGTTATGTTCCGGTTGCATTCTGGTTGTGTTCTTGGAT